TTTGGCTCTGCCTTTACTCCTCGTTTGAAGACGGTTTCGCAGAGTTCTGGAGAACGAAGATGAAGCCAGGGAGTCGTAAACATATTTTTCACGACTCCCCGGTGGAAACGAGTAATCGCCATCGCGGCGGATCACGCAGCTTGAAAGCCAACTTACTTGAACGACGGCGACATCAAGGTCAGCGGAGTGTGATCAAAGAAGCCGAGGCAAGGCTGAAACGAGCTGAACAACGACTTGAGAGAGATGACGACTCGCGTGCAGCAGATGACGACAGCGACGCAGGTAAAAAATGAGTCGAGCGAAAGCGACGCAAACTGAACTCTCTGCTCAATCCGCCAACAGTTTCTCTTGTAAAGACGCTGTACACCGGATGAACTAGCTTCGTCCAGTGATTAGCAGTCGATACAAATTGTTCTTGACCTGTTCTAAGCGTTTTTATATCCATCAAAATCCATCACGAAGTTTTTGTTAAAGGGGAAGTTAAGGCAAAAATTAAAATTTCACCAGTTGTAGTCTTCGGGGTGCTGAGTCGAATGGTCGTGGTCCGAGGAAGCTGAGACGCTCCCTTCCTACTTTAATCCCAATCGAACTCGCGCACTTCCACCGAAACTGAGTGACTGCGCCCTACTAGATGGGGATTTGTATGCAAAATGTCACTAAAAGCGCCATTTCGTTCTTATAAAAAGCATGGATGACCGCGATTGGCCCATATGTTGTAGTCTTTTGGACGCTGAGTCGATTGGTTTTGGTCCGAAAAGGCTGCGATGCAGCGTTCCTCCTTTATTCCCAATCGAACATGGTTGAACAAGCGGTCACGTGCTCCTGCGTACGCCAGTCACCTGGTCACCGTGCCTGCAGGGTACAACTTACTAGCCTGTTTGACCTTTTTTGGGTGCAGTCCTGTCACTCGAGTTGAACTCGAGTTGAACCTTGGTGTGAAAGTTGTCGCCTGCTGGCGTAGATTTTGTATGCAACAAAGTTAGCAAATCTGTAGGTTGCCTGATGTCTCACTGCTCCCACTTGTCTCCCGAATGCATTCGTCTCTTCTATAAATGCTACCTCCTTCCTATCTTTCTGTACGGCGCCACTGCTTGGCATTCCCTGCTTAGTAAATCTGCTGTACAGATACTAGAAATACATCATAAACGTGTATTGAAAATTATTTTTCGTAAACTCACTCTTTTCCCCTCTACTGATCTATATAGTTTGGCCTCCACCAGCCCCATCTCTATCCTGTCGCAGAGACAGTCATGCGTTCTGGTCCATCGTATTAAACTGAACATTGTCCCTGAACATCTCACCAAGTATAATTGGTTTACTTTCGCACGGGACACTCGCAATGGCATAGTACTTCCCAGAGCTTTGTCAACTATGTTTACCAAATCTCCTATCTTCTCTGCATACTCGTATTGGCTCAAGCTGCCCATGGAAATGAAGACAATATCCAATATTAGACAGTTCATAGACCATGTTAAATGTCATGCCACGTTGTAGGCTCGCTCGCCTCTTTTGCTAGCTTATCTCGCCGCTCTCCACCATGGTCAACATAGTGATACATTTCACCCCGCTGATGCATTATTTTCTTCCGATTATCATCTTCTTTCCTTCATTCTTTCTTTTTTTTTCTTCTCTTGCCATGGCTGGCTAACGCCCCCTCCTTTGCATTGGCTTCTGCCATTGGACGGTTAAATAATAATATAGAAGCATGGTTTCCTCGCCCAACTAGGCCTCCCAGTACAGTGGAAATGGGGACTGTCTTCTCAGCCACCGTGCATCAGTCGCTAGCATGTACAATCATTGTTCACATCTGCAACATATCGTATGACACGTCAGGGCCTGCTCTAGACATTCAACACAGCCCGGTCAGAGTGTACCTGGCGCATGCAAGCCAGCCGGGTCAAGCCGGGTCAGATCATCCGGCAGAAAACAACCAAAAAGCCTGCTCAAAACGCAGGAAAACAGAAAGGCGAATTTATTACCCGGAAATCGGAAATTTTAGAGAACATCGCGACGTAATCCACCGCTGCTCGTCTTCCTTTAGAAATGCGTCTTGCACAAAGCGCATGACATGGATAGACTGGCATGGTCGTAGTCCAGCCAGGGTCGACCTTTCTTCCAAGAGTCTTGGAAAGCGTGAGTTCTTTTTCTCTTCGCTGTGGGCTCCATCGTCCAAATCACCAGTCGGCTGAAAACTTGCAACTGTGTCAAAACCTATAGCCAAAGTTACGCTTTTGACTGCCTGCCCCATCGACTTTGAATGTCCTTACTTCCTGCTCGCCGCTGGCCAGATCGCGCTCGAACCAGTTGACCCCAGTTGACCCTAGCCGAGTTTCTGTCGCTTGTACAAAAAAGACTGTAGTGTGTACGGTTGCGCTAGATTTGCAACAGATAGATGGGGTCCGCGAGTCGTAAAATACCGGTATTTTAGGAATCCATTGTCGGTTTGAGACATTTTTCAGCCGGGTCAGACTGGACCCGGTGTTATCTGTTCAGCCAGGTCGTGCAGTTCCCCAGCCGGGCGCGTGACCCGGCTGACCCGGCTCTCCAGCAGGCCCTGCACGTGCATGGCATACAACGACCGTGACGCTCGGGTGCTTGGAGCTGCTGACTGGTTTCCCAGATTGCCTAATAATACCATAATTATACGTTAGCGCTGCTCCAATGATGTTTCTTGATAGGGCCCACATAGCGGCCATGGTTTTCACCGAGTATAAGCCATTGTGTCAAATTTCCTGTCCTAATAATTATCTACATCTCACCTCGACATGAGTCCAACAGCAGCAACCCATTCTGACGACAAGTCTTCGACGGCGGCAACAGACAACAATTTAGCATGCGTGACATTCGACCAGGCACACAAAGAACGACAACTTCCTTTTCAGAACAAACTCAGCTACCTCAGCGCTAGCTTTGCGCACACATAATAATACCGGTATATAATACTTGTATTTCCGATTTTTCAGGCCGCGTTCCGACGCCATGTTCGGAACTAGTTACCTTGACAGCGAACAGAGCAGCTGCAAGCAGCTATACTAGCAGGGAGTCGACTCCCTGGCTGCAAGTAAGGCGGTGAACCGGTGCCGCAGGGGATCGAACTTTTTGCGGGCGTTCTAGTATTCTACGGCTTTCGTGGGCTTTCGCGACACCCGTAGATCTACCCCTGCGACCCTGGTCGGCGCAATGGTTAGGCTTAGGCCCCCGTGTAATATGCCGGCATTTTTTTGAGCATTTTTGGTACAATCCGCGAACCCAGCACTTTGGGCTCGTGATGCAGCATTTTGGGGGAAACGGAGCACTTGGCCGTTGTGTATCAAAATTGAGAGAAGAAAAACTTCCCAAACAAGAACGTCACTTCCGCATTCCGTGGGTTAGCTTCTTGTTGAGTAGTTTATGAATTGTTTACCATGGCAGACTCGAGCAAGTCTCTTATTGAGTGTGTTTCGGATGACAGTGATGAAGATGAAGATACTGTAGAGAGCGATTCTTGCAAAAAAAGTGAGCATTTTCCGAGCATTTTCGGCAAGGTTTGGGAGAATTTTCGGCATAGTTTGCGAGAATTTCCCAAAAGCATTTTCGGCAAAGTTTCGGGCATATTACACCGGGGCCTAGTTAGGCTAGGCCTGGTCCGCGTCCCAAATGCAGCGACACCGCACTTTCGCACCTCGCTGTGAGTCTCGCTATCGCCTTTTTTCAGTGTTTCTGACAATAGTATCAACCAGGGAGTAGTATTTTACTACTCCCTGGTATCAACCAAGGAGTCGTAAAAGCCCTAGAAGATCTACGACTCCCTGCGCACTGGTATTAATAGTATTATTCCACTGGTGGGTGTCGTGGACATGGAAATCCAGTCGGAGGTCAAGCGACGAATGCTAGCCTGGTAGCCATGCAACCGGGAGTCGATCAACATGTGCACTGAGCCTGTTCATGCAACGTTCTGTACGCATTAATATTGAGAGTATACGCTTGACGGTTTTTTCTCAATTTCGAACGCGAGATCCCACGGTCTAAATGGCCTCCTCGCGTTGCAGCATGAGATTTCAACGCGAAATTGAACAAAAACGTGAAGATCGCCGGCCCCGGTCATCCGACCGGATTTCCATGTCCACGATAGTACGACTACTCATACTTCATTGCAGTGTCTGCTCCAGAGCCGGGTCAGCCGGGTCAGCGATCCGGTTGGTGGGTAGATCTACATGGACCCGTTTGTGAAGAAAAAAGTGCACCGGGTCACTTGTGACACGGTTTGGGAGGATACATGTTAGTCGTGTCGAGTAGTTCTACCTTTTTCTGTTCTTCAAAGGAGTAGACCTACAGACTGATCTGTCACTGTCAGTGACAGGCTGAAGGCGTGTAGATCTACCCGGCTCTGGCCCGGTTGCAAGAATTGTGCCAGGTGCTGGTGTAGATCTACCCGGTTGGGTTGAAATCCTAGAGCAGACTCTGATAGATCAGGATGTTTCGGCCAGTGTGTTCCTGGTCGAAGGGAGAAGTTTATTTCACATCAAGGGCCTAGGTACTCACTGGTCGTCACGTAACGTCATCACATTACAGCAGCAATCCAAGTACATGTACATGTACATGTATCAGCTTCACATATCCACAAGCATCTGGCATGCTCCAGACCATTGTCTTGACTCTTGACCCTTTCCTCATCTACACTGTGGGGATGTCCCGGGGATGTGCACGTCATACACACATGCACACACACACACACACACACGCACAAACACACACACAAACACACACACACACAAACACACACACACACACTTGTACTTACTCACTGCCATAACTGGTCACGTTGGTCTCCCCTTGGGAGAGGGGAGAGAGATTCAAAAGGAATCCTGGGAAGATGACTCAATTGGCTATTGAACCGCCGAACGGCCAACACCCATTTGAAATCCCAAACACACACACATGCACATACACACACACACATACACACACACACACACACACACACACACACACACACACACACACACATAAAACATCGCTGCTGCCTTTGAATCCTTGTTTTCTGAAGACTGAAGTGTAACAAGCCATATCAAACAAACAAAACCCACAAACTGTGCTGGAGAACTAGCCCACGTGTAAGGTGTGGTGTGCAAATCATAAATGCAGCTGCATCACATACCAATATAGACCATGTACATGTAAGTTAGGAGCACAAAACAGCTGATAGAATGCAAGTGACGTAGTTGGCAAGAGGTAATACTTCAACAAATTTAGATGCATTGGTGGTGGTGGTGGGGGGGGGGGGGGTGACAGATTGTCAGAAAAACTCTCTGCAAAGTACACCCAAGTATCCAGGTCCCGTAGCCAATCCGTGAATACGTGAATACGTGAATACGTGAATACTTATTCGTGAATACATGAAAGCAGTGAATACGACAACCAGTGCCAGCACATGCAATCAAAGAAGAACTGGTAAAGCGGCAGTGAAGTGCAGTGTTTGCCGGTATGACCAATGGAAACACCAAGCACATCATGTACTTTGAGTGTAGTAAACTGTGTTATTGGGTAAACAGTGTAATCCGCTCAAGGCAAGCCTAACCAGCAGCTCTAAATCTAGCAGTAGTAATCGCAAGGCTTGTCAAGCTGCTGGTCATGACATGAGCTCCTAGGGAACACTACAGAGCCAATCTCTACATCAGCGACACCAAATCACCACCTCCATTTTCAACAGCCATCGGATTGCTAATCGTGGAGTATGGCGCTGCTTGAACTGTTGGGCGTGCTGTTGCCAGTGTATGGCGGGACAGCGGGAACATAACCTTCTGAACCACTGCTAACGGATGGCGGGACAACAGGTACTGGCACATTATCTGTGGTAGCGCTGCTGCTGCTACCTGAGCTGTCATCTCCGGAATGTGATACAGCGGACCCTACCTGTTGGTCTGCAATCTCGGCAATATCTGTGCAGGATAAGCAAGACAATCCATGAAAACAATCAAAAGTGCATTGTGGACAGCATACCATGCACAGTACAGTCAACATCAGTGTTGCAATGGTCATAGTTTAAAGTGTAGTGACACTGATCAGTGTTGCAATGGCCATAGTTTAACGTGTAGTGACACTGATTAGGCGTTAGTGGCCACAGTTTAAAGTGTAGTGACACTGATCAGGCCCCTTACTCTATCACTCCCTTACTCTAACCCGGCCCGCCGGTACCGGTCCGGCTGGACAGGTTATAACCGTACCAACCTTTCACCCACCAACACGTGTTTGCTACTGTAAGGGGGGGGGGGGAACAACATGTTATGTTTTATCGTCTGATGCGTGTTTTTTGAAACACGAAACTCAGAGTTACGAGAGAGATTTTTGGTCTCTGTTGTTCTGCCCCGTGTGGAAAGCTCTGCCCTTTTTGAGGTATTGAGCACTATTTGCAGCAAAGACTCCAGACACTTTGTTTACTACTGTATACGAATAGGCGGTGCAGAAAGAATAACTTTATCACAGCAATGAGCAGAATCAGGAAAGCGGACATTGGACGTAGTAATCAACAAGAATAAAACCAATTATTTTATTCTTGTTGATGACTACGTCCAATGTCCGCTTCGCTGATTCTGCTGATTGCCATAATAAAGTTTACTACTGCGGAGGTCATTTATACCCTCCATATCACACAAAGTATGAAAGGCCATGAAACTAACGGACCAATCAAAAACTGCTTCCGGCGGTCCTGCTACTACAAAAGAATAGATCGAGTAACACACAAACAGACACCGGAACCTGCTTCTCTCTTGGGAGAGGGGAATGAGATACACATATGAACCTCCCCCCCCCCCACACACACACTCACACGTCTACACACACTTATCAACCCCCTTCACCCCCCCCCCCCCCACACACACACACAACATACATATCTCCTCCACAAACTCGCACACCCCCCCCCCCCCCCCTCCCTCCTCTTCCTACCACACACATGCGTGCACACGCAAAGCTCCATGCACCCCACCCCCGCATCCCTCCCCATAGCACACACACATACACACACACGCACATCACACACCCATGCACACCTCCCCCCCCCCCCTCCATAGACAAAAACATCCACCGAATAATGTACAGTACTGCACCATGCTGCTCACCTAGAGTTGTTGATCCATAGTCATTGGTTGCTGTGACAGTATAGGTACCATAATCATCTGATCGCACACCACAGATCATCAGGGAGTAGTTTGAAAGCTGCTTAGCGTGTGCATTGTTCACAACTACACCATCTCTTCTCCACACCACTGTCATCGGGGTTGAACTGGGCATTTACATGTACACAAACACAACAGACACGGAGGTCGGATCAAACTGCACTGCATGACCATGCACAACAGTACGCCGAATTGAAACACGTTTCTTCCTCGTTCCTCTCTCCTTCCTACTGTGACATATTGACCAATGCTAGCACTGTACAGCCTTAGAAGAGACAGCACTTTGCTTGACAACTGAACAGGCTGATAGCGTTGAGCCCGGACTTCAACAATAGTCACTGTACACTTACATGCTTCACATATTAAAAAAATATTATGACAGATTCTATTTCAGTTAGCCACTAGTGCTGTGGTACACCTGTCAGGGGCTATCAGGAAAGAGAATGATGGTCTGGCACCATAAATGTATGTTAACGTGTAGAGTTAATGAAAATTTATTGGGCCCTGATATAGATAATTTATTGTGCCCTGATGTAGATAATTTATTGGGCCCTGATATAGATAATTTATTGGGCCCTGATATAGATAATTTATTGGGCCCTGATATAGATAATTTACCGGGCCCTGATATAGATAATTTATTGGGCCCTGATACAGATAATTTATTGAGCCCTGATATAGATAATTTATTGGGCCCTGATATAGATAATTTATTGGGCCCTGATATAGATGCCATCAGGTACACACAATATACATGTAGAGATCGGCTATAGCGTTGGTCTTTGAATGTGCGAAATTTGATTGCAATGAACGATCATCACTACATACGATTGTCCTGGTTTGGTTGAGAGTAACAACTTAACGATGTAAGTCATGACGTTATGACGTTATGTATATGAGACGCGCGCTCGTGAGACCGTGACCATGATATGATGTACAGCACAGTGCACGGACACATGCTACTGAAAACACTGTACTTGGTGCGGGAAGACACACGTACGTACTGGTAAGTCATGTGGGGGAACTTGCACAAGAGACTCGAAGACTGTGACCGTGCACTGCACTGACAGTGCTAGTGTAGATCTACACGGCATGCACTGGCAACAGCGTGTGTGAGATTACTATAATAAGATCCAAAATGTGTGCAGTCAGGTGGTTTTGATATGAGAATTTGCACAAACATCTAAGAAGTAGAGCCACATCGGAAGCACATACCATATTTTATGTAGTATAATCCGCACCTAGAATTATTGTCGTGAAATATAGACATCATGATCTTCCCTGTCTATCACGGTTAGTTTAACCATCTTTGTATAAGTCGCACAGATTGTTTTGGGTGAATTAATGTTACTGGTATTTAAAGTGCACCTTCCATTTCGGAAAATACATTAATTTTGTCACAAACAAAAGACAAGCTCCACATCCAACATAGTCCCGCAGCTAACCTTTGGATTGTCACATTTAAGAGAATAGATGTGGAAGTATTGGTGGGCACGATAATGGATTTAGGGCTGGTTGGTGACGGTTTCAGAACAGGTGGACCTGGACAAGTATATGAGCATGTACAAACACTGCTTTCTAAGCAATCATGACTAAAGAGAGCAAATCAAAACCTCCTTCAGTACCGTAAAGTACCGTTGATCCGCCCCTCTCTAATTGCCGCCTCCAGTCGATTTTCTGACTTCGGCGTATACAACGAAATACGATGTTGAACCGACGCATGCACTGCTGTACAAACTACGTGTCAGTGCAGGATGAAAATGTGCACAATCCAGCACATTGAGTCTGCTCTTCCACGTTGTTGTACATCGTACTGCACTTGACGGCCTTGATCTAATTCCTGCTCCCTGCCGAAATCCAGCTGGGAAGCGACATGGCGTGGGGGGCGGGGGGGGGGGGGGGGGCGATCAATGGTAATTTACCGTACATGCACTATGGAGTACGGCAAGCATAACTATCCTGCATGTGCAGTGCTGGCCAGAGAAACCCAACCTCATGAATATAGTAGCGCCACGTTCCAGTGCACAGAACGGTGTACGTGGTGCTAGGGCTGTATAGTGCTCGGGGCTAATCAAAGTTGGTACACTGGAGATACAAAGCTATACACTAGAGTCGCGCACCGATGAACTTGCAGTCAAAAAACGTTCATCCTGAAATGCTATTAACGCCACAGCCTCAAGTAAAGACCAGCGGTGTTGGTTTCTGGAAGCTTTTGGAATACATAAGATTCCGCACGAATTATTTCTAAGAACGTGCTATAAGAACGCAGCGTGATTTGCTGAAAAATAAGAATGTCCCAGGCTAACCCTTTGGAAACAAAGGTCTTGGACACGCGAACCTACTGTAGGTAATTATAATTTATTAATTCTTTGCTAAGTGTGTTTTCTCCTTAGTATTATCGCATTCTTGTCTCCGAGGAAACTGGTTACTTCTTTTCTGTTGCTCATATCACTATTGTACTGGCTTGCACGAGTAGTGGTGTGAAATGCTTCGCGGAAATTTAATTTTTTTTCCTCCTGCAAAACATCTATTTTATTCAAAACATAGAGCCATACATATAAGTTTTTTTCTTCTTGCATTCCAATCATTGATATGACTACAGAAACGCATGCAGTGTTGCATATAGCAGCCCAATAATGCAAGCATCAAGATGAAGATTGAAAAGCTATCCCGAGCAAATGTGTACATGAAGGCCTTCAATCCTGGGATCACCGTAGCATCCAGCTATCAGGACCAAACTAAAATACTACGGAGGTTTTGCACAGAAACCCAGTACCAAACCAAAACTCACCAAACTGAAGTGATTCTAATGAAAGAAAGAAAAAAAACTTTGAAAGACTATGTTCCTTTCATCACTCGAAAAGAATCACAAGTTGAATGGATGAGAAGCACCACATATCAACAATCTGCTTACCTAGTACGACAAGTGTGGTCTCGCGATGGGATACTTCTTTATCATACATATCCGTTATCAGACACCCATACCGTCCACTATCTCCAACCCGGAGATCAGTGATAGTCAGGTGAGAGCCGTTCTGAATGTAGCGTTCATTGAAGGCAACGTTTGAGTGTCTACCAGCTCTGAGAACGCTCCAGAGCACTCTGCGATCCGCTGAGACATAGTAATCAGCACACTCCAGTGACACTGTCTGATTGACCATGACCATAGTAGCTGTACACCAACAACAATAACAGAACCAGAAAGAGCAGCAACAGCAGCAACAGCAGCAACAGTAACTCCAACAAGACAAACACCAACAACACCATCAACACCAACAACACAAACAACAACAGCAGCAGCAGCAGCAACATCAACACAGGACATTATAGAACAGATCTATACATAGCGGATGTGAAATACAGGACCGAGCTAGTGTGAAACACAGTACTGAGCCGGTGTGAAATAGGAACACAGATATAACTGCACATACATCTCACTCTGGCAAGGATTTAGCACACAATTGGCGGAGTGAACAGAAATACAATTAATTCCCAACCTGGACTGCATACAGAAAACCACAAATAGGTAAGCAACTCGACTGTCAGTAGTCAAAGAGCTGTAGCATGCAGCTCTGTTCATCCCAAAGAAGAAATAGACGTAGGACCATATTTCAAAATGTTGATCACACCAAATTCGAGCAAAACAGGTTTTTAAATATTCATTCTAATCAAGTATCCCAGTTAACACACTCATTTCCATCTTATCCGGGCAGTCTGGGACCGGACGCTGCCCATAATTTGGAAATGTCCGTAACTCTGAATCGTGTACGTTTTGATGGGGAAGGGCCAGAGAGGTGGCACATGACGTCACTATTTCCACCAAAATTGGTAAAAGAGTATTACTCAATCTGCGTACAGAACTGTTTCGTCCTTCGTGGACTCGCAAGCGCAGCACAGAGGAAATGAGGCCGATCCTGGTAGCAATGAAAAATAAATTTTCCAAAGCCAGATTTAAACCAGGCCCGAACATACCTTGCCAGACGGTGCTCAAACTGACAAGTCAGTGAGCTCTGCAGAAAGAGTGTTATAATGATTATAAGTTGGAAGCCCGGATAAGAGAGATAAGGGTGTAGTGGCAATAATTACTTTTAAAACTATCTTACATCTGACAGTGACGGAAACTTGATAGTCGACTTGTCCTGCGCTGTTCCTTGCACTGCATGTGTATAACCCACTGTCACTGCTAACAGCTCCGCGAATTGTTAGAGTTGATGTTGGACCTGATGTAAACAATAACAACAAAACACTGGATATTTCCGTATCACAGGCATTGTTCTCATTCCCATTCCTTTTCTCGCTCACACATTTTCCCTTGACAACGCTTCGTGCACTGGTGAATACTGTTTCATCCGATGCTAGTTGGGTGTTGTGGATTCAAGGAAAAATTACCTATGCATGTACAATTATAGGCATTGTGTTGGATTCTGAGCCTTGCATTATTCTCCAGCAGAATTCCCCCCACAGTCCTTGTCCTACAGACAACACAGGATGTCCTTTACACACTTCATACAGTCTGTAGAATCTGAGAGGCATGCAACACTTGAATGTTTAGGTCTCCATTTTCTCTCTTCTTCCTCGGTATCTTGAATGACTTGGGTAGGGTTCAGGCTTGAGAGCAAAAATCTTTCATTTCCCTAAGCATCTTGTTTCCACCTGAGTGCCTTTCACAAAGGGACTTACAACAAAAGTATATGTGAAAATGTCCTCCAATTACTATGTATACTAACCGTTTGCATTCTCGGTGACAAAGACACGGCTTTCAGGCTGATAGACAGATCGTGGATACAGCCAGTAGATTACTGTATCCGTAAAGTTCTCCATGCCACAGGTAAGTACGATAGCCTCGTTCTCATCCAGGACAATGCCCTCTAGTGGAGGCGTGCGGGAGAAAAGTGGTGCAACTGCATGCAAACATGAGATAAGACCGGCCATGACAGCCCAGGTATGACAGTCATGAGAACCATTACAATCACGGATACAGTAGTGCAATAATAAGAACAGAGCGAGCCACAATGGCACTAGCAGTGGCAGAAGCAGCAGCACACACAAATCACTCGCAAGCAACGGCATAAAAAAGGAGTGGTAAACTTAAACATCAGCAGTGCAGTATACACACACACAGTGACCTGACCCACAAGTGTGCCTTTCGGGCACCACAGCGTTTGCAGTCACCATATGCCTAAAATCAACTGCATACTCTACGCCACTTCAGAAGAACGCCGACAATCCACACCCCTTGGGGCGGAGGAGTTGTCCAGGGGTGCTCGGAAGAGGACTATGTTCAGATAAGGCAACAAGCATATATACATCTGAAGCATGCATACTCACCATGACGTACTGTAGAACGGGTAATTCTAGCGACTATTTATTTTAGCGCTTTTCCATTGTCAACCGGTTAGCGACGTTTTATTTTAGCGATTTGCAGCGATTTTACTCACGGATCACCAGTGCACTAGTTGCACTACTAATGTCTCAACGGATTAGCGACTTGAAACTTTAGCGAAAATGAGTCGATCGCTAAATTCGCTATTTTACTTCGCTAAAATTACCCGTTCTACAGTACGTGACTGGGAGCAGGATGGGTAGAAATCAAATGTTGCCCCTTGTTTAAAACTTTCGCAAAGTTGGTGTCCACATACTCTTTGCATGAATAGGGCTTGCTAAAAGGGCCTCGTTGAACGGGTTTTCAAGGATTTTCACCTGTTTTTCATGTTCACTGTGTTCTTCAATAGCATAGGCAGGGTTTCCAAGGGAAACTCTACTTCGCAATAGAACATCCTCTCACCTTTGACGAGGATAACTGTGATTGCAGATGCTGTAGAGAAATTATTACTGGCATTGCAGGTGTATGTGTCTGTGTCAGCGAGCGTAGGATTGAGCAGGATCAAGCTGTCATTCGTCACTGTGTACTTGACGCCATTGTTTTCTACAGCTCCCCCATTGCTACGTGACCATGTTACCGTCGGAGTGGGAACACCAGTAGCCTACAAGACAACACACACAACAAAGAACACGACAATGTTGGAGTGCGCATCCAAGATGTGCTAGAGCTGATTTCCAGTTAGGTGTAGAACGTCAGTACCGTTGGTCAGTGTCGTGCAATGTTATCTCATGAGCTGATCGTAAAGTAACTGGTGGTGTTAGTGGACATTATGGCGTAGCGTGTAGATGCTTGGTCTCTGTTTCTCTTATAAATTAATCCGTGGCTCTCCACCCGAGTCAAACTAAGCCCGGCAAGGATACACCAGTAGCCAGCATTACAGCAATTACCAAGCGTGCAACAATGAGTATGTACATCTGTATGTGTATGTGCGCATGTGCCCATGTGTATGTGTATATGTCCATGGACACTTAGAGACATACCTGACATTTCAGTGTGTAGTTGGCACCTTTTTGAACCACAGTTGTATCACGGAAGGGGAGAATTGCAACCGGCACTAAAGAAGACACAAATGCACACATTGAGCACAAAACACATTAAGCACACGCTCACACATACGCGCGTGTGCGCGCACACACACACACACACACACACACACACACACATACACACTCACACAAACACAAAACAGAACAGCAACAACACACAAACATTAACGGTAAAACCAAAGCAACTACTTTGAGTATTAGCTAATATCTTGCAGTAACAGTGATTACACACATTCAATTATACTTCCTCCGCGTCATTAATATTGTCGCTTCGCACATCGCAATGTTTGGGGCTTGCTCGTCTCAGTCCGACTGTCGGAATCGCTGTTTTCTGTGTTCGAACATTGGTGCAACCCTTCCTGCACAATGTCTACTTGTTACTGACGCCGCGGTGGTCTCGGCCTTTGTCGGAGCTCTCTTTTGCACCAAACAAATTCATCGCGCTTCGCACTATTCTGCCCCAGAGCGCGTATTGTTTTTCTGGAGTTTGTGCCGTCCCAAATCGTTCGCATGCTCATTTATCAAGACTGCAAGCTCGGGTATAAGAATCCTGGTGTCTCTCCTGAATTTGAAAAGCTGAAGTTGACAATGGCAAGAACAAAGTGTTCTCAAATTCGTAAAATGTGCTATGTGTGGCGCATGTTGCTGCGAAGGTAGCAGGTCTGAAAACACCAACAAAATCAGTGAAGCGCTTACCAAGGAAAGAAGATGCGGAACTGCTTACCCTATCCCGGTGGAAGGTCGTTGCAGTGTACTTGAAGAATGCTAGTTTGCCGACTTCGCCTGCCACCTGGAGGCATGGATCGCTTGAAAACGAAGTTTCTTGACATGGATTTGAAGGCGCGTCTTGTTCAGCGTATCGTTGAGTGCTGATTCTGAAGGGTCTGCATCAAACTCTGATGATGACGTCGACCTTAGCTGCAAGTGCAGCAAAGCGGGAGGCTACAAACTAAAGCTGGGTCCGCGTCGACAATGCTCTGCCTCGATTTCTAGCTGATTTCTTTGCCCTTCGAGTGGACAAAATAAATTTGAAAAATCGCGCTGGGAAGCGACAATTTTAGGGGAGGAAGAATGGACTATAGACGACTAATTTATGATGCAATGTACAGATTAACGTTACTGTGACATCAGCCGCCCAAAAACGGGCAAGCGAAGAATATCCAAGCCACTAGAAGGCACCAAAATTTAAGAACATGCCAGGAAGCCAGCAAATAGTTGGAAGCACCAGTGTGTAGCACAGTGTACGCCTGTACTGTCATGCCACTATGCGAATGCAGAAGTACAAAATAGGGTCAAAGACACTGGAATCTCACAAGTGGGAGCACAGCTAGTCTGAAACAGAGACTCGCATTCTTCAGCACTTTACATCACTATAATGATCACCCGTTCACGCAGTATAGTTCCCGATGTACTAATGATCACCAATGCCTACTGTAGCCAAACAAAAAGGAATATGAAAGGTACATACTTGGACTGAGCACATTCACATAGGCGCTTGCTGATAGTTGTAGCTGTGTGGTCTTGGAGAAACATTCGTATCTTCCCTGCATGGACAGTTGTATACGTCCCAGTAGCAGAGATCCAGTAGCGGTCATCTTGTAGTGGAACTTTGGACGAGTGTAATCGAGTCTTGTCGTGAATGTCGGTAATAAGTTCAATCGTTTCCCTTCGTGGTACCTATTAGTAGCAATAAGACAATGACACCAGGTACAGCAGAGTGTTAGTAGTAATGGTGCGGGTGATATTACTCCTACAGTCGAGTATGATGACGGCAGCAGTACCAACTGCAGTGTTAGCGACAGCACAAACAGCGGTGTTTTTTTTTTTTTGGCAGCATCAAGAACAGCTATAACGCCAGTGGTGAATGCTTTTCAATCAAAACATATTGAAAGGAAGGTGTAACTGCAACAGCCACAGGGCAAAAACCCAATAACATACAGCTAATAACTAACCTACGGGGTGGGATGGCAGGGTACAATTTGCACCTACAAATGGCCATTGTGACGTAATAGAAATACGGATGACAGAATTCTGTTTGAAACAAACATTCAGGAAGAATTCCCCAAATCTCAATGGCCAGGACTTCCCGGGTGCCACAACGAATTGGTCCAAAAAGGCAGGCCAGGGGTTCTGGACAATTAGCAGCACTCCTACTTTGATGGTAGGACTGATCACCCTAAGGCGTCTATGCAGTCGGGTCAAGAGACCGTAAACAACTCCGGGCCCAAGAGCGCCAGGAGATGCTACAATGCGGTGCAAGAGTAACGGAAGTGGAGAGATACTCATTCACCCCACTTGATTTCGGGACATATTTTCCTTTAATAATAATAATAATAATAATAATAATACCACAGTACGCGTACAAAGGCCAAAGAACAATGCATGAGAATACACTGAAATTAAGCCAAGTCCGCTTCTGTCTCCAGTCAACAAAAAACTCATCCATAAACTATGTCTGATCTCCATTTCGACTTGTCTGCAGCAAATGCTCGTGCTCCTTCTAGGTCGCTGACATTCTTCAAAGGAATGATATATACATATTTTCCTTTACTGTTCCTAATTTCTGGAGTTCTAATATGCTTGGTTATCTAGCCATGCAAGAGGCTGCAGTAGTAGTGTCAGTGGCATGCAGTAGTAGTGTCAGTGGCATGCAGTAGCACACACACACACACTCCATACAGGTGGCCAGCAAACTAAACTCACCAGTTGATTATACAACTTGTATTTGCACCGCAGGACAGTACAACCGCTGCTGTCTGGTTGACCACAGCTGATCGGTTGCGTGGTGTCAACACCAGTTTGTGTGGCTGGAGAGAATAAGCTGCAAGTAAAAAAACACCCTTTATTAATCGAGTGTTCTAGAATCATAACGAGAGAGCTTGGAAGCTCAGGGCCCTACGCTATGCTTTTTTGCCTTGATGACCTAGACAAAAAAAAGCATAGGGATGTTATAAATTCTTTAAAAAATTCCTTTTTTAAGACATAACCTGGGATTCGAACCCGCACTATCGCGCGCCCTGCATGCACCACCCCGAAACACTTCGCATACAATTCTTCTTAGCTAGTTGCTTCACGTTATGATCTTGCATTTGAAAGCCCTATTTGAATATGCATTGTGGCTAGCCGTCTTTGATGGTACGGTACGGTATAGGTACGGGACAGGTACGATTGAGGGTAATACGACACCGTCTACCGCCTTCATGACGGCAAAAAAGCATAGGGATGTTATAAAATTTTCAATTCTCCTATTTTTTTTTCAGGCATATCCTGGGATTCGAACCCACACTATCGCCCTACATGCATTCCCCCATACACTTCGTATTCATACTCATTCTTCCAAGTTGCTTCACGTTATGATCTTGCGTTTGAAAGCCCTATTTGAATATTGCGGCCAGCTGTATGTGGCCAGCTGTGTTTGATGGTACGGTACGGTACGGGACAGATACGGGATAGCGCCAGGCGTGACACAAACATACAAACAAACAAACACACAAATACCAAATTAAAGCTGTGTGGACCCTGGCTAGCGCCAGACGTTACTGAAGTAACGTCTTCTGCATAGCTACGGGAATAATTATAATTTCATAGGTAGACTCACTGAGGCAAACAGTACAAAGCATACTGGGAACTTCATTTTTGTCCTCCTGAATCCCAACACTCTACCTGCAGTGTTTTCATTTGTTGTGGACTCATCAGGAGAGCAAAGTGCCAAAGTGCTGAAACTGACAAATCAGTGAGACAGGTATAGTAGAAACAGCAAAGGCAATACCGCACATTCATTGCTGGCAATCCAGTTTTAAAACATCACTTCTCACTGTCACCGCTGCTCCCACCAACATATCCACCTGTATGGCTGTCTGTGCCACTGGAAAATCAGTCTGGTTCAGTCTGACACCAAATGTGGTGTTTGTCACTTTGAAAATGTACTTCGTAGTATTCATAACACGGTTATGTCGGCCTGGGATCTGGATCAAGTACTAATAATGATACAATTTGTCATGCAAAAGTCAACAACCAAGAGTTGCAACCAATGTCCTACTTCGTCTCATTTCCAGGACATCATGCAGCTACATCTGCGCATTGTGGAAAATCAAAATGAACACACTTTCCCTGTGGCTTGTAAACGTTCGTTGGCATTGTGCAAACCGTAGTTAACCAACATGCCGCAGGCACAGGATCGCATGCCGACTCCAGCGGCCCGGACATCCTCGCCATACTGCTACGCCAAGTAACATCATAATTAAATTATTATGCTAATAAAAGTCTGATATGGCAGCAGATTCACATCGTATTCCAAAAGTATTGCTGGAATGACGGGAGTTCACATCATATCAATATGACGGCAGTTTACACGCACGCACGCACACACCAACCGCGCCGGGGCACCTCTAAGAGCTGTGCGTACGGTATGCCAAGAAAAGGACGTATAAGTTACTAGTTATGACTAACACAGTCTACCAAGGTAATGAGATAATTATACAGTCAGATAGTGTGACAACTTGTTGTTGCACGATCTGACTGTATATTATCTCGTTACCTTGGTAGACTGTGTTAGTCATAACTAGTAACTTATGGGTCCTTTTATCTTTCCATATTTACTATTGGCTCAACATCCGATTTTTTGATATGTCTCCTTTATTCACTCCTTTCGAAGGCGATACGCCAGTCCCACCGGAAAGATAATTCCATGGGTGGGACAGCAAAAGAAAGTGAACAAATATACAAACTTAAAAACCAAAGGGACAAGAAATGGGGGAAGGAAGAGGAAGAAAGGAAAGAACCTCAATATAAAGTTATAAACTCTAATATCAAAACAATAACACATTGTTGTCCCCAGCGCGGTCTTGCGAATTAGATGGTTTGGAGGCAACAACGTTGTGAATGGCCAACGGTCCTCAGCGCTTGTTCAGCACCTCCATGAGCGACACTGACTCACGCTGCTATCAGGTGTTCACGAGGTGTTTGTCGCGAGCGTCTCTGTAAGTTTGTATCCTTTGTGATGTATGTGTCTGGAGAGCACTATATAAGTGGTGCTCTTCAGGCACAATCTTCCTCAGCCTACTTAAGCTCAACTGGTGAGGGGTGAATTCCCCGAAACAATGTGTATTGAGCAGGGAGTGGTGCTTTCTTGCAGGTTTGCCGAGTGGACGGTTCGATGGACTTCTCGTGTGCTCTGGATAGCAGTCGTGAGTCAGTCAAGTGAGAATTCAAGTCGGCAGGAAAACCTCAAGCTCCTATGTAAGGAGAAACACACTCTTCCCCTACTATCGCCGAAGTCGCACCAACCTCTTCTTCAAATAATAAAGAATTTGCAGCAATAGGCATTCTACAAGCGATAAGTGATATTATTGTCAAACGAAGGTAAGTATTACTCTTGATCTGCGTCAGCGATATTGTCGCTTATCTTTCGGCTTTGTATATACGTCGCCAATGCTCACTTGGCACCCCATTTTCATCCCAATTTTGGTTAGTAAGTAAGTTTACTAGTACCTGAAAGGTCTAGCTAGATTTCGAGTGGATTTCGAGAGCGACGGGTGGGTGATTCTGATTGATACAGCGCCGCATCAAAATAGTTTATCTTGTTACGCTGTGCAGGCAAGGGCAGCGCAAGCCTCAAGAAAGTAATAGGCTACTCTGAATCAGCTCCATTTCGCTGAACAGCCGAGATCGCTCACCTCATGGATCGCTCGTGAAGCTGAGATCGTAGCTCCCTCACCTCCAGCTCAACGCTCGTGAAGCTGAGATCGCAGCTCCCTCACCTCCAGCTCAACGCTCGTAGTATCCAGTGGAGATTTGCACGTACTATACGCATAGTCGTCGTCGTCGTCGTCGTTCAAAATAAAATCTTGCAAAGAAGTGTACGCTTCTCGTTGGCTGAATTTGAAATAAACGAGAAGCATTGTTCTTTCGAATGACGAACATCTGCGATGCGTTTTTTTGTCTTGCAATATGGCTGCCCGCAGCCAACCCTGCACTTGTTATGGCTGATGTGAGGTATGAGAAAGAACAGCGTCTGATTTGAACCACACAGGCTGTCGTGCTGCCCACGCGAAGTCCTATAGAGAAGGCGACCGTTACAATCGACTTCTCTTTAGAAAATAGCCAGGCAGCGGAGAGGAAGAGAGATGAGCATGCAAAAGCAAGAGAGTCGATCCCGAGCAAAAATATTTGTCACCAGCGCCGAGAGCAGCGACGAGGAGGACCGAAAAAAGTATTGTTCTTTCGAATGACGAACATCTGCGATGCGTTTTTTTGTCTTGCAATATGGCTGCCCGCAGCCAACCCTGCACTTGTTATGGCTGATGTGAGGTATGAGAAAGAACAGCGTCTGATTTGAACCACACAGGCTGTCGTGCTGCCCACGCGAAGTCCTATAGAGAAGGCGACCGTTACAATCGACTTCTCTTTAGAAAATAGCCAGGCAGCGGAGAGGAAGAGAGATGAGCATGCAAAAGCAAGAGAGTCGATCCCGAGCAAAAATATTTGTCACCAGCGCCGAGAGCAGCGACGAGGAGGACCGAAAAAAGTATTGTTCTTTCGAATGACGAACATCTGCGATGCGTTTTTTTGTCTTGCAATATGGCTGCCCGCAGCCAACCCTGCACTTGTTATGGCTGATGTGAGGTATGAGAAAGAACAGCGTCTGATTTGAACCACACAGGCTGTCGTGCTGCCCACGCGAAGTCCTATAGAGAAGGCGACCGTTACAATCGACTTCTCTTTAGAAAATAGCCAGGCAGCGGAGAGGAAGAGAGATGAGCATGCAAAAGCAAGAGAGTCGATCCCGAGCAAAAATATTTGTCACCAGCGCCGAGAGCAGCGACGAGGAGGACCGAAAAAAGTATGAACCCTTCCTTGGACAATAGATTCCTCATAGCTAGTTGTCATTCTTTACCTTACCTTCCATCGTACCAAGTTTTATCACTTCAAGTGCACGCGTTGATGTCCAAAGTCCAAGTTCAAATTGTCGAAAGCGACAATATTGCTGACGTGGACCAAGAAGTTCGCAAGTATCCACGCAAACACACACATCCAGTCAAATAAGGCCCTTGTCATAAAGCATTCGAACGTTTTCGGTCCCTTCTCATCAAGGATTGTACAGGGAAATGGCTCAAGTTGGAAAGACTAAAACGAATATAGCGTAAAGATAATGAGATGACAACAATCGTGACAAGGTGAAAAATTATCAAGTTCAGAACGACACAAATCTTGAAGGAAAATAATAATAGGGACAACAACATAGTAAGGAAAATAAGTTACATTGTTAACGCCCAGACTAGGAGTATCACCAAACAATTGAAGAGACAACGCATTTTCTTTCTGTTCACAACGTTCAGGATCTACCTTACGTATATACAAAGCTTCTAACACAGCCTTCCTCCTCCCGTGAAGATGTGACCGCATGCCCTTCCTCCTCTGCGTGTGTAGGGCAGGGTCCAGCCCAGAACAGCATGAAAGATGGTGAAAGACCGACACGTAAACCACCGAAACTGACAAAGGATCTGTCGGCGTCGGGGAGGGTTACGCAAAGCCAAGTGAAAATACGGACTGCAGGGGACGCTCGTACAATGACAACGGAGGTGAGAGCAACAGTGAATATTCGGAAACGTGGTAGACCGCAAAAACGAACCTCTACATCGGACACCGGACAAGTTGGAGTAAGAAGCTCAACAGCAAACCACAATAGAGGAGATGTAGCTGAAGGGATACTGGACATCGCACACACAGCGGCCAGTGTCCGGAAACGTGGAAGGCCATGGGAACAGACAGAGACGGATAGTGGTAGTGCCGCAAAGAGGTGAAATGAGGGGACAATGGAGGAGACAACACCCAACAGAGCTTCGTCAATCAAGCAACACCTGTCAGCTCGTACCAATTGTCCTGAGTTGTACAGTGATAATGTTTACTCAATATAGTCACGTGGTAGATGTGCATTGCATTTTGGTAGTGTTAGAAGTCACCTAGAACATTTATATATACGCAGGTTAGCGGATCCTGAGCTTTGTGTACAGAATCTACAATAGTTTTGTGTTACTCCTCGTCGAGGTGTTAACAATGTAACGTAATTTGCTTGCTATGTTGTTGCCACTATTATTATTTTCCTTTGAGATTTGTGCCGTTCTGAACTTGATAATTTTCCACCTTGCCATGAGTGTTGTTATCATTATCTTTGCGCTATATAAGTTTTATAAAATAGTGCTTGCGACTTCGGCGATGATTTGTAAGAAAGAGTTTGCTCCCCACACCGGAGCTCACGCCATTCCGCCAACTTGACTTCACACTTGACTGACTCACGACTGCCATCCAGAGCACACGAGAAGTCCATCGAACCGTCCACTTGGCAAACCTGCAAGAAAGCACCACTCCCTGCTCAACACACAGTCTTTCGGGGAATTCACCCCTCATCAGTTGAGCTTGAGTAGGCTGAAGACAATTGTGCCTGAAGAGCACCACTTAGACAGTGCTCTCCAGGCACAAACATCACCAGGGATACAAACGGACAGTGACGCTCGGTTTCCAGCAGGACAAACACCTCACGAACATCAGATAGCAGCGTGAGTCACTGTCGCTCCTGGACGGTGAGAACAGACGTTGAGGACCCTCAGTCATTCACAACACTGTCACCTCCAAACCAGCTAGTCGCAAGCCCATGCTGGGCACAACGGTACGAAATAGTGGTTGTGACTTCGGCGATGATTTGTAAGAAAGGGTTTGCTCCCCACGCTGGAGCTGTTCTCACAGCCAACTAGCCAGCGTCAGAGTGTGCAAGCAAAGTACATCACCCAGTAAAGGGAGTAGCTAAGGTGGTTTATTTATCAGTCTCGATTCAGTTTAGGATTGGTGGTTACAAAACTTTATCTTTAATGGAAGTTTCCGGAGGAGGAAGGAGGAAACTGTAGTTATCACCAACCCTCACCGCGCCCAGCTCACGCCGCTACGGCGTGCGACCTGAGCTGGGCGCCCTGCCCAGTATGGAACTGTCCTCAAGCCAGTCACGTATTTGGCAGCCCAGTGAGCTGTCTACCGGATCGCAGCGTTTAGAAGCGCCAAATGCGGCAGGGGCAGTCTCAGGCTGGTCGCGTAGGCGGCAGGCCGGCGGGCGACCGGCAAGGCTGCATTCACATTTGGATCACCGAAGTGATACAGGTGCTTCGACGGCACTCCGTGGCGCATCAAGGAGGCATCTGGGGCCCAGGCAGCCCGCCCGTAAGCGCACCACCGTATCAGGTATGCGCAGGTGGAGCAGCAGAGCAAGATGTGTGCCGGACACCCACCATCATCCGGTCGACTGCATGGTTGTGCGACTTTACACAGCCGTCACTCATTACTTGCTATTGCTTGCAGAAGGCCAGAATTTTTTTTTCTTTTTTCGCTCTTTCCCTTCTTCCAGGCACGGCTTCATGTTAGAGCAGTAAATTGCAGTTAGGGACTCAGCTGAGTCAAGCTGGACTCAGCGTGTCAAGTTTGGAATAAGCGCGCTATCCCCAAACAGTTGTGTGGTTATTGTGTGAGTGTATATGCAGGAGTCCGCGGTCACGTGAGGGGGGAGTGATAAATATTGTTATGCAGGTCTCTAGGGCAATTGAACATGACAACGCAGCAGATAATTATTCTTCTACATATTCAGTATATTTCTCAGAATTTTAATTGAACCTTGGAGAGTCTCCTGTTGAACGACAGGCAGATTTCCTCCCTGTATAGTCCTAATGAATTGAGCAGTCTCTCTCACTAAGCCTCCCAAGGCACCAACCACAGGGATCACAATCATCAAACCTGGGTGAGGGACCAAATTCGGGAAATCTCCCGCTTCAAGTCATACTATTTTGAGCGCTTTTCACAAGTTTTCAGCCATTTTCTTATTGATGTTGTTCTCACCAGGAACGCTGACATCTATGATGTATGCGATGAGCTCATCATTATCAACAAGGAGCAGATCAGGCCTATTTGCTGACAGTTTCAGGTCACTTGGGACCGAATACTCCTAATAGAGCCGATACCGATCTCTTTTGCCTTGAGCTGGTGGTCGAACCGTGATGCACCAGTAGGCAGATCCAGTGCTCTACACATTTCGAAGTGCACATACTTGACTAACCGGTTATGACGATCGATGTAACCGGTCCGAGCAAGAACTGTTATTTTTCGTATCATTATCATTATGGCATGATACAATGCCATACGCTATGATCAAAGAGTCTAAGACCCCTCTCTCTCTCTCTCTCTCTCTCTCTCTCTCTCTCTCTCTCTCTCTCTCTCTCTCTCTCTCTCTCTCTCTCTCTCTCTCTCTCTCTCTCTCTCTCTCTCTCTCTCTCTCACTCACTCTCTCACTCTCTCCATGCCATACTGTGTGATCTGAGTCCCCCTCTGCCCCTCCCCCACCCCCTCTAAGCGAAAAGCAATGATCTACCCCCCCCCCTGGGTTTACCACGTCCCACCCCCCCCCCCCCCCCCCGCCTATGCCACACGCTATGATCTTATCCTTACTTCTACAGTCTTGTCCATCTCCCACATAGGTTTTCGGGCACTCCCAGCACGCTGATTTATAGCCGGCGATCTTTGTAGTGTTGAAGCATCCAGCTGCTGGTTCACATAATCCATTCGAGCATGGTTTATCGTTAACAGTTGTGCACACTTCATCGTATGCCTCAAGAGATGCGTTGCACTGTACAGATGCCTGATAGCAACTGTAGACAGAGGCTTTGGTTTGCATCTGGCATTCAAATATGTTGGCTTCTGTACCGAGACAGCGCAGGAAGTTCACATGAAGCTGGCTGAATGCGTGAACAAGAGACGTGGAGTATCGTGTTGGTAAACCCATGCCGAGCTGCCTGCACACAACGCTGGCTGCGTAGCGATCCCACTCTCCTCTGCTAGAGCAGAACGGAATCCATTTAGAGTTGATGTAGAGTTGTAGCACTTGCTGAGTGCCTTGTAGGCGGATGTTTGTTAAATTCTTCTGGTAGGTTTCGCGCACTGGTCGTTTTCCGGCTGGACAAGCTGATACACATTGTGTGCCATCCAGGACCAAGTCCAGTGTGGTATTACAGCGAATACAGATATCGTCACGTGCTCCATTGAAACAACCATCACACTTCTCATTACATGGCTGGCATGTACCGTCAGTTGTGTCACCATGGAAACCATCTTCACATTTGAGTTCACACTGCCCACTTTCAGACGCACTCAAGAATCTTCCCTCGATGCATTCTTCGCATACGGTGGCACTTCCCGTGCTG